TTTTCTTGTATCCTTTTGGTATGAGGATAATGTTGGCTTTGTAAAATGAATATGAAAAATACCTGTTCTTCAATTTTTGGGAAGATCATGCAAAGGATTATTAGTTCTTTTTTAAAAGTTTGGTAGAATTCAGCATTAAAACCATTAGATTCTATGCATTTCTTAGGTAGGTTTTATATTATTGATTTAATTTTCTTACTCATTGTCCTATACAGATTTTCTGTTTCTTATGATTCGGTCTTTGTAAATTATTCATTTCTTAAATTTGTCTTGATCACAAAGATAGTAAATATAACTTCAACAAATTTATACTTATAATAAAGCTAGTGTCCCAATAATTTTAAATTTGCAATTACACCAAATAATTTTAATTAAGTTAGTCTGTATATATATGAAGCATTACATTGAAAATTCAAGGAAAACACTTCAGAGAAGAGTTGATCAATCATGTGTTTACAATGTCTTCTTCTCCTGCTGTAGTTTAAAGGTTGCCAAATAACTTTGTGTAACATGAATTCTCATCTTGATCGTGAAATCCTACCTTTAAAGTTATCATATTTTGATTATTATAGTGAGAGTTATAGGTTGCTAAAATAATCATCAGTTTTTTATGGTATGAAATCCTTTTAAATAATGATAGGGTATTTCGTGATTTAATTTACATTAAGCCATCTAGAACTGATATGTTTCATATTTTAGATCATATTACTGAAGACTAATAGGATTAGACTCTGAATAAAAGCATAAGGAAGATACCACAGTAATTCAATAAAATGTTGTAATATATTCCAGAACATCCCTACCTGCAGCTTTGTACATTTCCCACCAACTAGTGTCCTGTGAGTGTCCTCTAATGAAATTTGGCAGAGAGCTGCAGTTCTTCTCCCATTAGAGAGATTGCTGGAGGAAGCCAAATGGCCAGGCCTGCACAACAGGATGTCTCAAAGCTTTCCTGTACAGTCAGAAAGATAAAGTCACTGGGCAGAAGGAGGAGGATGGCTCAGGAACACATAACACCTAAGTCTAATGTTGACTTAGGCTGGCTCTTAGTGAAACATGCATGGAATATCAAAACTGCATATTGATGACCACGTTTAAAAATATTTTAAGATGATGTATAATTCTAAAGTATCACCTAATAAATAAGATCCTGTTATATAACAAAGAACTGCTCAAATCTGGGTAATATTTGATCCATATTTACATTTCTGCAACTGTACACACTTTCTGATATTGGTAGACTTTCAGTACTTGTTTGATGATATTGCTCCAGATATGACTTCTATGGGACTATGGGTATTGTTTTAAATAATTATACAGTGGGAACTATATATTTGCAATCACTTTACAATAAAATCCTAGAAAAAAATATTATCTGTGGTGCCTGACCACTCTTATGAAATTAAGCTTATACAAAAGTTGAGAAATAAATACTATTTCCAAGGTTTTATTGCCATGTTTATGCATGGCCTCACAAAGAGCCAACCAGAAGGCTATATTTGGATTTCTGTGTCCATTTGAAACTCTGTTAACAAGGACGTGCTCATATGCACTACCAGACATCTTGGAATAACATGCTAATTACTTTTCTGCATTCTGGCTCCCAACCACAATGAATTCTATTATAAAAGCAAATCACTGCAAACTTCAAACAGCATGCATCTTTGAGATGCCACTATTAAAGGAAACATAGTGATGGGAAACCTTTGATGTTATCAGATGTGATGGAAACTACACATTTATATTTGTGTAAATCCTGTAGACTGAAGCATTTCCCCCACCCTTAAATAACCTGAAACCAATTTCAAGTTCCCAAACTCTTCAAAGCAGCCCTCCTTGGAAGTAATGCTGATGGTATTTCACATGTCAAGGAAGCTCATTTTTTCTATCTCAAGACTTCAAGCAGATTTGAAATTTTACTTTCAAAGAGAAAAGATGTTACCTACCTTCACCCAAACTGCCGGGCTCGGGCTGATGGGCAAAATGTCATTGGTAATGAACTCACTATGTTCATGAAATGATGGTGTGAGACTGTGGGGCTCAGAGCCCAGGTAAGAAGTCCAGGGAATTCTGGGCTGCAAGTGCTTAGCTCCTGCATGCTGAAGTTGCTCCTTGTTCTTGTGATGTTGACCAAATATCAGAATGCAAACTTTGGGCTGTGTTGCAGAACAGCTGTACACGACTGGAATTAGCCCATCTTCTCCTAAATGGGGCATCTGTGAAGCTGAAGACAAAAATTGGTGTGTGCTTCCCTCCAGCCCACGGGGAGCCCAGCCACACAATTCAGGACATTCATCTCAGGAATAACTTCTGCAGCAGGCAGGTCTGTCAGTGGCTTCTTGAAAGGCTTCGGATTTGTGGTCGGTAGAAACATCCATGAGTATGTTGGACTACAGGATGCAGTGGACCTAGTAAAGTTCCATAGCATTTAATTAGGTTTCCTGTAATTGCTTTAAGTAAAAGAGAGGAATGAAACCTGAGGTTATCATCTTGGGACTAAAAATATTTGTGTGTGGTTTTAATATCCTGAGCCCATTTGCTGCTGTTCTGCATTTTAGAAAGAGCCATTATAGTTTGAAAGAAATACACACTGCACATTTATCAGCCCTTTGGTGACTGTAAATGTCCTGCAACAACTTTAAAGGATGAGCTTTGTTTCCAGTTGCTGAATTTCTGCCTGAAGAAGGAATGTATAAACAAGTAAAATGGGCAAAGCAGCAAATACCAGAGAGTAAAGAAAAAAGAAGGAGGTAGGGCTTGGGAGAGGAGGCTGTGCTCCATCTTTGTGTAGACACAGATTTCTCAGCAATGGGATAATGAGAAAAAAACTCACAATACCATAGGAAAAATAGGAGACCTGAGCAGGAACCAACAAAAGGGGAGGAAAAGAGTGATATTTGTTAATACCATGGAAATTTTTTTTGTTAAGATTGTGGTATTAATTGGTCATTGGCTAAAATAATGTATTAATCTTTTCTTAGAGGAATAAGAGGTTGAAATATGCCATGTACTTCAAAATTCTTTCTAAACTGGTTATTATATAAGCAAACATAAAAGGATTACTAATTTGTAAATTTTTAAATATTTTCTCATATACTTAATAAACTTTTGAGAATATAGTTGGTCCTGCAGGATCTTGTCCTGTTTTTGAATTACAAAACTCACTTCCCTGACATTCAATCCAGTTCAGTCTTTAGCAGATCTAAAGGCCAGGAGTTTCTATGGCTCAAGCCTCATCATTTTAACAGAAGAACAGCACTATGTATTTTGATGGAAATTATTGTTTCTTCCCCAGTAGAGTAACACCTACTTCATATCATCTGCTTGCTTAAAAAAGTTCATTGATAGTCGTTGCTCTCAGGAAGAAACCCAAAACCTGAAACATGTACAAAAAAGATTCCCATACCTAGCACACAAGTATGTGGTGGGCCAGTTTGCTGGACCCTAGCCCCAAAGTTTCATATTTAGTGAGTCTAAAATAAGGCCTGGGAATTTGCAGTTCCAACAGATCCCCAGGTGATGCTGATGAAACTGTTCTGGGGCCACATTCAGAACCACTGGAGTCCAAGACCACATGAACTGGATCTGCTCTTGTCTCTGGTTCCAACACAGGTCTGGACCCTCTGTGTCCAGTGGTGTTAGTTTTCCACAGGACTCTCAATCTCCAAATTCTGTCTTGCTTCCAGACTGACTCACATTGAATCCTTCATGCTAGTTCTTTCTTTTCATCCCTGTACACTGAAGACAGCTTTTTTTCTGTGTTGCATACATGCTAGATAAAAACACTTCACTATCAAGTCACACCCTCAGCGAACCCCAGCTCAGAAACAGTTGTGATAAGTGATGTAATTGTTAACATGAGTCCTCTTCACAGTACTATAAGTTCATTGACAATGATGACTGTCTTACTTATTAGAATATCACAAGTGCCTGGTACAGTATCTATTATATAATTAATACTTAATAAGCATTTATTGAATGAATGAGTGAATGAATATAAGCAAGTACAAAGTTACTTCATTCATTTTTACTGTTCCCATCCTTGTCCCAAGGTAAATTCTCTTACTCCCTCCAGGTGTTCTGCTGGTTCTCACAGTGGATGCTACATTCTGGAAATGTGTGCATTCAGTCTCCAGGAGAACTAGCAATTGAAGTTCTTGATATAGTTTTCAAATAATCTCTCTTTCTCAGTCCAAAGAGGTGTACTGCAGAATGAACATCTGAAAGAGCTTTGATACTGCAAGATAAATTCCCCTCAAATGATAAATCCAGATTTTATTTCAATTTTAGTTATTCAGGATTACATAATGCCATAAGATAAATTCCAATTATTTCAGCTTTTTAGCTTGCAGCAATTTTACAGGATTTCAGTCACACTGCAATTACAGAGAAACATTTGGACCCACTGAATATTATACATTAAAACCTTAAAGCAATACATCCTTTAAATAGGCTGCCACAGGTTTGTTCTTAGAAGCTTATATTTTTTTTGAGAAGAATAATGTAATTATAATTAAAACACAACTGTTAGGGTAACTTAATTGTTAAAGTAGCAGGTTTAGATCACACATTTAGATCATTCTCTCTCATTTCCTGTGATGAGTTAGGAAGATTTAGGTATGGTAACACTGAGTAACAGCTGGGCATCTTAGCTTCAACCTATGTAATTGAAGTAGAACCCTGAGAAGGTGTGAAATCCAAATTCCCCCAATTTCATAAGTGGATGGGAGATAAACATTGGCATGCTATTTGAGGAAAGGTGCTCCTTTGCAGAGTGCTCCTCCACTTGGACCCTCAGGTGAGCTTGGAAGGTTTGAAATAGCAATAAGAGAATGAAGAAGCTATTGGGTGAGTAAGTGCGGCCTGCAGAAAGGAGAGGGCATGCACAAGGCCATGTCTGGATGTTGCACTGCAGCGTGGAGAGGTCTGTTGAGGGATGAATGCCTTTTTCTGTCTCCTTAACACAGGCAGCTCCTGACTGCTTCTTCCTTTCTCCCCAGGTCTCATTGTCCGCGAAGTGAGCATTGAGATTTCTCGCCAGCAAGTGGAAGAACTCTTCGGGCCTGAAGACTACTGGTGTCAGTGTGTGGCCTGGAGCTCGGCGGGCACCACCAAGAGCCGGAAGGCCTATGTGCGCATCGCATGTGAGTCCCCTCACAGACGCCTCGGGCAGCAGAAGCTGATGGGCATGTAGGAAAGTTTACACTGCAGCTGACTGGGCACAGAGAACCCTGGTCACAACTGCTGGGCAAACACTGTTCCCAGATTTCTGCGTTTGAGCCACACATTCCTCTTAAATCACTAGAGTAGTTTTCCTTTAGAGAGGTGAAAGAACTTGTGACATTTTCTTCTTTCTTTTTTTTTTTTTGCGGTACCAGGGATTGAACTCACGACCTCACGCTTGTCAGACAGGCGCTTATGCCACTGAACTATATTCCCAGCCCAAACTTATACCATTTTCAAAAGACTGAAATTTTTTAAAAACTGCTAGTAATTAGGCTATAAGAAAACCAAATGGATTCTTCTTTGAGCTCACTCTGCCAGTGGGTTAGGACAGTGTTAAGTAATATTGTTACTGGAAAAAGGGATCACTGAGTTCAGGCTGCTTGGATTGTTTTAGAACTGTTCTGCTACATTGGAACACAACAGGGTGTCCAAACTGGGTTAATTTCTAGGGTATTCATGTTTAGAAAGAGGTTGAAAGTGCCTCACCCACACAAAAAAGGTTCCCCCATCCAACAGACAGAATTCCTTCAGTAAGCAGGGTTCCCAAGGGTCTTCCTTGTAAACCTGCTCAGACTCTTTGGTAGGTGAATGTGCACTTTATCCCCAGGAGGGACGCAGCCTGCAGCTCCCACCAATATATTCCGGGCCAGTACCAGCGATTCTGGGGCAGCAGGACAGCGGCCAGCACCTGGCTTAGGGTCCTTACTGAGAAGTGTCGCATACGGGAGACACCCCTGAAACTCACATGTTGTCTTCTGATCCTTTTACATCTAATTCCTTATTGTGGCGGGTGCTGCTACCACAAATCTGATGTGTCACAATCTCAATGCTGACTGCTTCTGCTCTCAGCTGCGCTCTCCTTTCTTGCTCCTCCTTAAAGTAAATCTGAGCTCTTGGAAATACTCCCCGCTTAGTCTCCAGGGTTCCAGTCTTTCCTTCTTCTACATCCCTGCAAACACGGGCTTCCACAGCCTCAGTCTCCTCTGGTCATGATTCACCCCAGTCTCAAATATTATGGGGACTCCTGAGAGAAAACCTGTAATTCCTCATCGAAGTGTCAGCAGCTGGATGGCTTAAAGAACAGCATTGTTCTTTCTTCCAGTTTTGAAGGCTAGAGGTTCAAGATCAAGGCCTCCCCAGGTTTGGTTCTTCTGAGGCTCTCTCTGGGGCTTGCAGATGTCACACTCTCACTGTATCTGAATGGTCTTTCCCTCTGTGTGCAGGCTGTGTGTGTCTCTGTGGGTGTGCATTTCCTGTCAGATTGACCAGGACCCACCTTCACAATCTTATTTTAAATAAATCACCTCTTCAGAGGGCTTGTTTCCAAATATAGTCACGTTCTGAGACCTTGCAGTTTGGGGATTCAGTGTAAGAGCTGGGGGAGAGGAGTTCAGCCCTTAACCACCAGATACCCTGATTTCCACCTCCACCCTCTGCTCCTAGCTCTGACCATTAAACATTTCTCCACTTTAGTCACATTAGATTAGAGATACTTTGATTTCCAGGTCTTTCAACAATTGTTCATGCTTAAGGACTTCACTCTTGTCTTCCTTTCATAATTTTTTTAAAATTAATTTATCCAACAAATGTCTCATGAGGATTGGCTCTGTTCTTGGATGATGGTGAGTACAGGCGGGATGTGCTAGAAACAAAACATATACCCGTCCTTGCCCGCCTGGAGTTTATGTTCGGTTGCGGAGAGACAAACTTTGATAAAATAAATAACCACTGTGGAAGGAGCAGCTCGTGTGTGCTGTGGGAAAGGATGTAGGAAAGGGAATGGGTGGTGCTGGGGGGAGAGGTCAGGAGTTTTCCTGAAGGCTGATAGGCAGATGGGGAGGGAACCGCCAAGGGAACAGTGAGCAGGGCAGATAGACTCACCTGAGGCAGCTCCCAGGGCACCCAGAACAGCCAGAGGGGCTGACAGAGAGCTGAAAGGAGACCCCTTGATGGGTGAGAAAGGGAAACTTTGGACCCAGGGGAGAGTGGAGATGCTGGGCTCCATCTGTGGTGCTGTCTTCTGGTTTCAGCAGGAGTGAAAGAGGTGGGACTCTTTCTAGGAGAGGAACTCCACCTGACTTCCGCCAGAGCCCTGCGCTGCTGCGGAGAGGCTGAGACGGGGAGGGGCAGCCGCAGGAAGAACTCTGGGAGGCCCCAGCTCCGAGCCCGAGGGTCCTGTAGAGAGAAGGCCTTTGGTGAGGAGCTCAGGACTCTGGAGACACTGAAAGGTGGAGGGAAGAGCTGTTCCTGGGAGTTTGGTTGTGGGGTGTGAGAAAGTGGAGAACGGGTGGTTCGAGAGGCCTGTGCCTTTGCAAGATTTCTGTCAGATCCCTGGTGAAGCATTTGTGCCCCTTGGATGCAGGATAGGTGTTCCTCTGTGTATGTTCAGAGCAGTTTGTCCACACTTTTACTAGAGAGCTTGACCCATGTGAATTCCTTTGTTGTAACAATTGTTTCATGTCAATGAGTTCCTTAGATCAAGAATTCTGTTTTACTCAACCTTACATCTTCAGAGTTTAGAACAAAGCCTGGAATGCCCTAGATTAGATGTTTGAAGAATATTTTAAAGTTAGAACCATTATGAAGAATTTCGTGTGATGATTATTAAAATGCTGTGTATTAACCTTCCCTCTTTGGGTTTGTCTAAGGAGATTCGCTCTTTATCTTAAGTGGAAGAAGTAGAGTAGCGTCCCCATGGAGTGGGCTGTGGGATGGACACGTGCATGCAGGAAATGCAGGAGGAGCAGACAGCATCTCAAGGGCTTTAGGATGTTGCATGGAGAATGAAAGCAGTGGAATGGGGACAGGGAGAAACGGAGCTTCGGTGTGAACCCAATAGAGGACAGAAGTCTGGGGTTCGCATGGATGTAAGCCAAACATGTGCAATGAAATCCAATATTTTGTAAAATTAATGGACACTAATAAAAACATTTTTAAAATTTACATTTTTTATATATGAATATATGTATATATTTTCCATATAAAAATTAGATACACATATGTATAAATCCCCTTCTTTCTTTGTAACATATTCTATTTGTTATTTAAACATAGCTTGACATTTTCAAATAAAAAGAAAACAAACTCTTCCCTAAGAAGAGATTAATTGATCCCCTTCATCTTTTCCCTCTGTAATACTCCAGAGTGGTTCACTCTAACTTCAAGATTAACTGAGCTCATGTGTGGCCAGACAGTCCCATCTATGGAAGACGTATTCATTTTGATTTATATCATGGGGAAACCCAAAAAGGTTAAACTTTAATACTGTTTGTCGAGGTTACGCCCTACCAAGCAGGCCTCACTACTGCTACAGAAAGTACATGGAGTTTCAGTCTTCCCTGAATCAAACGAGCAAGGCTTTGCCTTGTGTTACTGGACAGGTGGCCAACATAAGCTGCAGTTAATGTTCATATTCATCACAGGTGCAGATAACCATGATGCTAAGGTTAAATAAGTACAGTCACCTTTCACTTGATAGACATGCTCATTAGGAGTTCCATGTTGGGGTCCCCCCTTCTTTCTTGAAAAAGCTCTATTTTCACACATTTATAAAGCAGAAATGAATGCTGACCACTAATTATTTTCTATGAGTTTGCTAATGATATTTTCTACATTAAAACTGTGTAAAATGAAAATTAAGTTTGTGAGATAGTCAGGGCAGAGGAAACAAACTGGAGATTTGAAAGGCAGAATTTAGCAAACAGGAGCTGAGGACACAGCACACCTACTCTACGATCCTCATTCACCCATTCACCGGAGGGCAGGCAGTCTCCCCCAGAGAGAAGCTTCCATTAAGAAAACAAGAGGGAGCTATAGGGAGTGTCCTGGGCGGAAGGCTCATGGCACTCCAGCTGCCGGTGTGGAGAGGTCGCTTCTCAAGTGTTTCTTGCTATAGGCCCATGAGAGAATCCCCAGGTGGATGGCAGGAAGGTGTCATTCGGACAGAATGGCAGCAACAGTGTTGTCTTCAGGAGTGCTTTTGGCTCCAGTGTGGCTGCCATGGGGCCGAGCTGTGTTGGTGATGCTGTCCTCTGGGGGAGGGAGCTGATGTGTGACCAGCATCCAAGTGAAGAGTTGAAGAGCTCACACATTGGGCCAGGTTGATGTAAGATGAATCCAAGTTACAGCACTGATGAATGAAACCTTGGTCAAGTTATTTAACCTCTGTGAGCCTCATTTCATCAACCATGAAGTGAAAACGATAACATTATTTTAAGCTAAAATGAAATAAATGCGTAAAGTGCATGACACACTTTGTGAATTCACAAAGCAGGTGTTCAGTGGGCAACAATAGTATACACGATAACAGAACAATTTGAATAACTTTGTGCCTTGATTTTGAATAACTTTGTGCATTGATTTTGAAACTCACCAAACTAAGCAGACTTTGAACATTACAAATCGTTTAACCCAGGCCTGGACTGTCTAACCCAGCGGCTGAAATTTCCTTCTGATTCACACAGCATTAGATCATAATTTTCTCCATACCTGAGGGTGGAGGAGAGTGCCACCTGGTCAGCTTTCTACAACCCATGAGTGGCAGCGAGGTTTACACGCGTAGAAAATCCGTCTTCCTGGGGATGGCAGGAGAGTCCCTCAGGATTCTTCTTTATCATGTGTGCAAACCAATAAATCACAACAGTGCTACAACAGCCACTGGCTGCAGAGAGCAATGAGACAGTTCCACAAAAGTTAAGGATGGTAAATGTCACCCTTTCTGCCCTCCTCTCACAGCGCACTCAACCTTTCCCTGGGGTCAGAATGGCATCATGGACCACCTGAGAGTTTGGCCAATGCTGTTCATAATCATGAGCATAAGTGCTGAGCCGACAGTCTGTCTAGAGCAGCAGTGTGCAGAAGAATGCCTGCTATAGGGGACATGCGCACTCCGTTAGTGATCACACTGCAAAAAATAAGA